CCGTTCGAGTTTTAACCAAGGTCTTTAAACCGGAAAGAATACCAAAGTTGGCTATAATTTGGCAACGAGAAGCCACGTTCCGATTCAAATTTCGAACTATGGCTTCAATTCCATTTCATTTCAAGGTGGACTCGACTTGACAGGGAGTTATTTTTCAACTCTACCGAATGAAAATTTGTGTCTTTTTATCTTTGTCCTATTTTTCGTTCCACGAAAAAGGACAAAGAGGGCAGCTGTAGACACTAATTTTCGTCGACATATTTTTTTCCTTTATATATATACATATTTTAAAACTACGTATATAATATATAGTTTTTAATAGTTTTTAAAACTATATAATGTATAGTTTTTTTAAAAAACATTTTAAAAAATATATATAATATATAATTTTTAAAATCATTTTGAAAACTTATATATTATATATATTTTTTAAAATGTTTTTTTTAAAACTATACATTATATAGTTTTGAAAACATTTTGAAAACATTTATATATTATATAGTTTTTAAAATGTTTTTGAAAACTTATATAATATTTTTGAAAACATGTTGAAAACATTCATATATTATATAGTTTAAAAAACATTTTGAAAATTTATATATTATATGTTTTTGAAAATATTTATGTATATATATATTATTATTATTCATTTTTTAACTTATTTTGGTTTTGTTTCAGGTCCAAAAAGAGGTCCAAACAAGTCAGAACGGGCCTGAACTAGCCCAGCAAAGGTTTATGGTCTGAAAACCCTAGGCACGCATGTCAACAGGCGCCACACAAGGGATTCGAGGAGTCAAGCACGTCACCCAAACGGTCAGATTTTCCGGCCGAGATTCCGGGACTGACCCATCCCGGGGTGTCCGGCCTCAACGGCCACGAGAGCCCCGTATTTCGAAACAGACCAACGACCGGTGGGGGGTTATAAAAACCCACGACCAACACAGTACAGGGGGGACAATCATCAGAGAACACAGAACAGAGGGAGGCATCAACGAAACCGATCATCGACAGAACCAACAAAAAACCCGGAGAACACCATACATACAATATCAACACAACAGAAACAACGATCGACAAGCGATCGAACCACCACAAAAAAACCAGAGCAAATATCAACAAAATCCTCACAAAGACATAAAGCAAGAAACCATATAAAAAAGTACATCGGTGGTGCGTCAGAACCAAGAGGAGCCAAACACCCTCGAGACCCGAGGAGTCGTCGGAAAAGGTAAAGGAACCGAGGGGTTTTTCCAGATCTAGGGCGTCTGACGGTGGCCGGGAATCGCTTGATGGGAGGAGTCTGAGAGAATTGAGAGAGAATGAGAGAAGCTTTCGTTGTGGGAGAGTTACAAATGAGAGAAAAAGGCTTGTTTGCCTATTTATATACCAGGGGCCTCCTTACAATTAGAAGATTTTTTAATTCTCTCCGCAGTCCCTGGATGTTTGAATCGCTTTACAATCTGGTCACTGTATGCAATTTGACCTCTAAAATTTTGATTTATTCAATTCAGCCCCTACTTTTAATTTACATTGTTTTGCAATTTGGCCCCCTTACTTTTTTTATTTTGCAGTTTATTTTTAGTACCTGGTTAACCATCCATTTTAATTTGTTTTAATTTAGTCCTTTAATTTTTTTTCTTTTTTAATTTTAGCATTTTTTTAATTATTCATTTTTACCTTAATTTCAGTGTATTTTTGTTCCTTTTCTTATTTTTAATTTATCACTTTTAAAATCTAGCATTTGTATTATTATTATTTTTTCCTTCCTTTTATTTATTCAATATTTACTTTTTTTTCTTTCTCTTTCCCCTAACATTTTTGACTTTGTAGATAAATTTCAATTGATCAAAGGTGAGTAATTTGAATCGAGTAATTTAAATTTAAATTTAAATTTTCTATTTTTCGCTATAAAGACAACCGGAAAATTAATTGGTACCGAAAGGGCGGTTTAAGGGTGCTAATTCTTCCTTGACCGTAACCGACTCCCGAACCCGACACGTTTCTAGTACAACGCAGATCAGGTAAGATGGTGTCCGACCCACCTAAATTCGTTTTAAAGTGGTCGGTGGCGACTCCAACCCATCAATTCAAGTCGAAGCCCAATTCCGGGGCCCAACCGAAAGACGGTTACGACACCTATGAAAACTTTAATTTTGGTCAAACTAGTAATATTCAAATGGCAATTTGAATTCAAGGGCTATGCTTTTTTATGGCAATGTCTTGTCTTCTTAATTCTTATTTAATGGTTTTGGCATCGTTATCGGGATCTGTCTGTCCGTATTTGTTTGACAATAATAAGAATATAATGAATATTTATCTGCTTACTCTTGCAGTATGATGCTGCTATTCTTCACACATCTTTTGCCAGGTTTCTGAGTCACCCTAAAGCTTCACTCATGGTATTATTTTGATGTTCTATTTATTGCGATAATCTTTGAAATTCTATTTAGTTGCTGTAATTTCCTTTTTATTTTCTTAATTTTATGATGTAACGTGCATGAAGAACATCGAGAGAAGTTGCAATCATTGTCAAGTCTTGCATCTATTTAAGAAATTACTGAATTTACTCGTACAAAGAAATCAACCAACAATCCAGCAAATAACCAGATAAATCCAACATAATGTTGGACCAAATCCATGCATGGTGAGAGTTGAATTGGGGATCACATCATCTTCTTTGTTTCATGCCTTTCTTTTGAGTTCTCTAGGTAAACGTGGATATTTCATTCCTTTTCATATTGCCATGATGGTTGAACCTTGAATTATGAAAAAGTAATCGCTGTTGTAATTTTGTGAAAACCAATTTTGCGGACTTCAACATGGTAAGGTTCCCCTAACTCTTGTACAAGTAAAGTGTAACTTTATGCTACTCAGGAAAAATAAATGGCTGGTAAATCTTGTTATATATAGTTTCATTGTTTAGGTCTAATGGAAAATAGCAGTTATCGAGAATTATGTGATCGGCTTCTAGCTCATATTCTTACATATATGTATATAATGCACGTCTTATGCAGGACACCAATAATACCTCAAACCAGATTGAACTGTTCCATAAGCTGGTCTCTCAACTCAACAATAAAATCCGCGGATTTAAGGCAAGTTGGTATACTTTGTATCATCACTTGTCATATGCAGTTTCATTGTTCGAATAGCTGCCTATGCATCACATGTGCATGATCCTCATTTTTTCAGTTAATCACTTTATAACCCCCCCTTCTCTTCTACATTTCTTAAAATCCATATTCTAAATCTCTGAATCACAAAAGAAAATAAAAAACTATGCAACTTCGCATCTTGTCTTTGTCCCTATTGACAATTCATGCAACAGCAGCATGAAATACTTTCACCTAGGAGTGATAGATTCAGTTCTGTTCTAGAAAAGATTTGCTGGTCATGTGCAGTATTCTGGTTTTTTGAAAGTTGAACTGAAACCGAATCAAATACCATAAATAACTGAACTAGCCTGAACCAGAATCAGTTTGGATCGGTATGATATTTTAATTGTCCTTTAAGAACAATTGTACATTGTATGTCCTTTAAGGACAATTAATTTAAGTTCTTAAAGAACTTAGATATTGAAGAACATACAATTGACTACACAATGTACATTGTATGTTCTTCAATATCTAAGTTCTTTGATGTTGAACTGTGGAACCTCGCAACCTGTACAAAACATGGCTCCGAGACACTTTTAAGCTCATTTTGTGGAAGAATATGTCGGGACTGGTATCTGATTTATCAATTCTTCTCCGTCTTATCTTAGGAAGTCCTCGAGCATTGGAGCTGTTTGATACGAAGTCAAATAACTTATCGAAACACAGACCCTCTTGTACTAGGCATAGCATTAGTCTACCAGCTAGTACATGGTTGAATGGAAATGCATTATTATCTTTGCAATCTATGTTTTCGTGCACTTCAACCATATATTATACACACATATACATATCTATAAGATTTGTTTGTGTCTGATGTTTGTACATATGATTCAGGCGACCGTGTCGGAGCTGTGGTATGTAGAGGAATATGATGTTGGCCCTTGCCTTGAACGGAAAAATGAAGGTGCGCAGTTCCAAATGGGTTGCACAAGAAGCTGAAGTTCCAAATTCAGATGCTATTTTAAGCACGTTTCAGATTCCCTTAGTTGTAACTACGTTTTCCTAGAGGCTTTATCTGATAGCATGCTTCATTGTACAGTTCATGGCTTATTCAATATTTTTAACTTACATGCCTTCTTCATACTCAATCTGATATGTTATCAGCGAGTTTGATTTTGATATATATATATATATAAAAGAAGTTATTAATGAGGATGTTATAATGATTTTTTTAAAATAAAATAAGATGAAAATAACAGTTCAAGTAGTAAAATAAGATGAAAAATTTCTAAGTACAAAATAGAAAGATAAAATTAATTTAGAGGATAAATTAAAAGGAAAACCTCATTTACCCTCAGCGTTGAAAGTTAGGAACATCCATAGGGTGGTAAATGGATAGAACATTTAATAAATTATTTGTGAATTGTTCGTATAATATTCGTTTATTAAGTTAAATAAATGAGTATGAACAAAATTTTTGTGTTTATTTAATAAATAAACATGAACAAAGTGTGTACAGTTTTTTATGTTTACGAAAAATTCGTTTATAAGCATGTTTACTCCAATTTTTTCTTTTATATATTTATTTTTTAAATTTTAAATATTAGTGAAGTTAAGTACTAAATTGAAGATAGAGTGCATTTTGGAGTTTATACTGTGAATTCTAAGGAGTATAAGGATTGATGGTGTAATTTCATCATTTTGGCGAACATATCGAACGTTAAATTAATATATAAGATATTAAAAATTTAAACACGAATCAAAATAAATATTTTTAAAAATAAATAAATACCAGCATAATTTTATTCGCTATCTCGAATTTGCATCACTAATCCTAAGACGTCTATTTTTATCACCGCTAGATCACACCACCGAACAACCCGTACCTGCCAGTAATTTGTCTTACAAAAACCAGCTTTTACTTGGCATCTTTAGCAGCTCTGCTTTACACGCATAAACACCAACGTCACTCAAACCCCACCATCAACAGCAACAAAAGCGAAGCCCAACTCAACTACTAGTGTTTTTCATTTTCTGGAGATCAGAAAAAAAACAGGACAAAGACCTACAAAAAATTGCATTGGAAATTGAAGATGGGATCTGGGTCTGGAAGTTTCCTTAAGGTTCTTCTTAAGAACTTTGATGTTCTTGCTGGGTAATTTCCTCTTGCACCATTTGTCTTGTTTCCTTTTTCTGGGAATGTATGTATGTATGCCATTGCTTCTCTAAGAATGTAAAGAGAAATCTTAAAACAAGAACCAATAGAATAGAAAGGTTTTTTGGCTTTATTGTCTACTTTAACCTCAAGTTATTTTTTTGAAGTAATTAATCTGACATTACCAAGTTGTGTTGTGTTTTTTTTTTCCTGGGAATTTTTTATAATGTATTTGTTAATTTGGTGTTTGGGTTGATTTTGCAGGCCAGTCATTAGTCTTCTGTACCCTCTGTGAGTGTATTTCAATTTCCCCCCCTTTTTATTGGTATAATTGAGATTTTGTCTTGACTTGAATTGGTTTAATTGTTCTATGTTGTTGAATTCAAACCAGTTATGCCTCCGTTAGGGCGATTGAATCCGAGTCTCGTGCCGATGACCGGCAATGGCTTACATATTGGGTTCTGTATTCCATGTTGACGTTGCTGGAACTCTCCTTTGCCAGAGTCATTGAATGGTAAATTTGTTTGCTCTTGAATTGTCAAGTTTTTTATGCTTGTCGATACAATATTTGTGGTTCTAACACTATCCCTAGAGTCCAAGTTAACTTTTCGCTTTCGTTTCGGCACGTGCGAGAGAGGGAGAAGAGGGCGGTCCGCTAATATGTTTGATAAAAAATATTGATTCTAGTTGGCCAACTCAAGAAAAAATGGCAATTTAGGTGACCAAACCTGTTGTATTCTTTGGTTATCTTCTTATCCACTAGAAGAGGAACCCATTTTTTAATGTGTATGCTTACCAAGGGTTTCAATCGGCTTTATAACAACATACTGATTCCATCGAAAAGTGGAAACCGTTGTGATTTAAACCCGACTTGGTTATTACTGAAGTTTGACCGATGTACTAAATACTTCTCTTTATATTATTTTTCCTGGATTAGTTTGTCGGATATTTCTGTGAAAAATTTCATGGCTTTGATTGGTTTAAAGAAGGGATGTCTAGTTTATAGGTAAATATATAAGACGACTCTTCGGTACTTAATCATGTCGATTGTCTATGGCTCTATGTATGATTTGAAAGGGAAAGTTGCATGCTAAAGCCTTTCTTATCATAATTCTGCACATGAAACTGCATTTGTCTATTCCTTGCTGAAGCCTTTTAGAAGTCGAATACAGGATTCCAATCTGGTCTTACGCGAAGCTGACTTTCACCTGTTGGCTGGTCATCCCGTACTTCAGCGGTGCTTCCTACGTTTACGAGCATTACTTGAGACCTTTCTTTATCAACCCGCAACAGACCATTAACATCTGGTATGTTCCAAGGAAGAAGAACTTCTTCAGTAAACCAGATGATATTTTAACTGCTGCGGAGAGATACATGGAAGAGAATGGAACTGAGGCATTTGAGAAGCTCATTCATAGGGTATGCCATTGACCAAAATCGGAATCTCCTTCATTTACATGCTTTTGAGAGCTGCCGTCAATATTATAGCGTCTTTTATGTTTCATCCATTGGTTTGTTTTTGTAATAATGCATTGTTCCACTTGTGGTTTTTCAGGCTGACAAGTCGAGGAGTAGTGGCTACCGATATTGATGCTTGTAGCTCTAACAACGAACATATAGTTTGCAGTCCCGGTACTTATCGCTCTAATAGTGACCGTATAACTATGCCGGATATCCAAAAGACACTTTTTTTTGTCAATATGAACTATTTTTTTTAAAATGGATGTATTAATACACTCCGGTTCATTAGATTGGTCCTCGACAAAGCTCAATGGGCTAGAGTGTGTGCCACCCGGTTGACCTGTAGGTGCACATAATGCACTTTTAGACTCGGGAGCCTTCAAGAAGCTCGCACGCCTCGTTGAGCATCAATCCTACAACCAAAATGTCCCTATATGGGTTTGCCAAACAAGTGACTATGGAGATGGCATTGCCTTCAACAATCGCAGAGTCCCAACCATTCTCAATAGTCATACGAATGCCCTCCGTGAATCCAACAGCTTCTATTGATTTTGCTGTGTGAGGGCCGACCAGTTTCCGTGCAACCCCAATGGTGGTCTCTTGCAACCACTTCTATTGCGGCTTTCCCCATCGACATTAATCTTGAAGAAACATGTCCCTGGTTTTTTTCCCATTGTATATAAGGCCCCGTTCTAGCCTTGTTAATATTGGGATCGAAGTCGTTTGCCTCCTTGAATTGGGTTCCAGTAATCCATGGTATGCTTACCATATATCTAGCCTCTTGAATTGCACCCATTTATTTCTCCTATTCCATACCCTCCAAAGGAGAGTGAGCAGTTTTGAGAATCCTTCTAGGTCAGGAATGAGTACCACACCTTCAAGCCATGATTTACAGGTGGTAGTTGGCATCTTCATGCCCACGGCTTAGCTCAAAGCATCATAACTTTTTCTTTTAAAAAATTAATATTATAAATATATTACATAATTTCAAATAATATTTAATTTATAAATGAAATTTCAAAATTTATTTATACATGCAGAAAATAATATGAAGTATACATATTTATATATAATAAAGAAAATTATTTAAATTGGAAACAATTAATATCATTGACATTATAAATAAATTTATTTAGATTTAAATAATTTTTTTACAGAAATCACTGGTTTTATTAAAAAGAAAAAATACCCAAAATTAAATTGAAGATTTACAATCATAACTATAAACTAAACACGTAATTAGAATATTTTCCTATATATTTATTAACACATGAAACTAGTTACTTAAGATCACACAAGTACCATACAATGAAAATGTTAAAAAACCTAACTAAAGAACAAAAGATAGATACGAATAGATCCGATCGTATTAGAAAACGAGCCAAAAAAAGGATCAAACTACTGAAAGACCACCGATAAACTGCAAATCAGAGTCGAGCGACATAAGAAAACTATCTACAAACGCAAGTTGCGTATTAAAATCCAATCTGATGGTTCAAAGAAGGGAATATCAATATAATAAGAAATAAACACCATCTTAATCAATCATAGTGATATCAAAGCAAGGAAAATTATTATCGCCTTATTTGTACAAAATTGACCTGAGGAGAATTCGAAATCTCGAATTTCAAGGAGATAGGTATGAACCAATGGAGTTTTGTAAATTCATGTACTGTCTGTTGGTGATGATAATGGTTGTTGAATAGTCTATTAGTTGGTTGAGCTTTTGGCACCACTTATGAATTACTGTTGTTTTAGGATGTAATTAAGGGAAGAGATTATTTATATCTAATCACTCCTCCCAATTCCACCGTTAATTCAGTCCCATCAAAATATCTTAGATTACTAATGATTTTTCTTTTATTGAAACAATTATTGTAAATTTTATGAATATGTAAATCTTTAAACTCGAATCGATTATTATAAATTTTCAATCATTTGAATATGAATAATTATAAAAAAAAAATTAATAAAGACGAACAAACCAGAATTTGGAAAATACTTTGCATTCTTTTATATACAACGATTTGTACTCACCAATCAAACTCGGATATATATAAACCAAGAAACAATGGAACAAGACTGTTTAAAGAGACACAAATATATTTGTCTGTCGTTGGGACTTGAGACAAATTGAGAGAGAGAAGGGGACAAGGCTTTACTGGTGAAGCAAATTTGTAAGAAATTCAACATCAGAGCTACTTATATCCATGGAATCTAGACATTGAGACAGCCTCTCGCTCAAATCATCTACTTCTTTCTGTAATCTTCTTATATAACTGCATGTCTCCTTCAATGCTCTCGTCGTTGATGATGATACCTACACACGTATAACAAAATCATACAGTCAATTAACCTTGAAATATATTTCTACTTTTTAACATAACATCATGTACTTTGTCCTCTGTCTTCAAAATGTTTGAATCTGATCATTCGATAAACTCCGAGATTAATGAAGAGTTCACAACAATGGCTTCCCTGTTGTCTTTTGTCAAATGTCAAGTGGATTGCAACAGATATCATGATCTAAACTCAGTCCTTTCAGATACGTCGCAGTCGTTATTTAATGCTGGGGTAAACACCGAGCATTCGACGAAATAAAACAAGAAAAAGTGAGAGAATGACAAGGAGAATGAAGGGTGTACCCTGCCATGGCGGCCGTGATTGAGCGAGGGAGCATGCTTGAAGTTTTACGATGAGGGCATCGAGCTCGTCGTTGGTGATTTTGTTTGAAGCTCTTGATCCTCGGCTAGACATGAAGAACCCTACCTTTCTTATGGCTCTCACTTGTAATTAACAATGAGTTGGAAATTGGAGGAGATCGGCAGTTTATAAAGAGAGTTTGAGGATGAGATTGGAAAGAATATGGTAGTTGATAACAACATATTAAAATAAATAAAACTATAATACTGAGACCCCATTTGTCACATATTTCTGCATTAAATTGGCCCACAACTATCTAGATCATGCTTAAGTCAGTTTCACTATATTTTCTTAATTATGAATTATTAAATATTATATACAATTATTTTTAAAATGTAAATTAGAACATATGATGTTTATCCTTACAAAAATGTTCGAATCCGAAACCTTGAAAATATATATACTGCTTTGGTTCACAGTGGTTTACATTTATAATAATCAAAATTCTGATAATTAACCAAACTATTCTAATTCCAACATGAACCATTTGTTTTCATGAAATTGAGCTCTCGACTGAGTGAAACCTAGTGATGGGTGTTGATCAATTTATTTCTAAGGTGAAAATATATTAAACGATGGTAATAGAATGAAAAAAAATTACTAACTAATTAATTAAAGCTTTTATTTTTGTTTTTTGATTTCTTAAAAATCTCAGCAGCTTGGCCATCAAAATCTGATATAGATTTGTAGGATCTAGGCAACTGTTTAGAGATTCAAAACCTTGCTCTTTTTTTTTTGGCTCAACACTAATTAAAGTAGAAACAATAAGGCTACATTATACCATACAGAGATGGAACGAGAGGGGACGAGTGGTATAGAGATGGAGTGAGAGGGATCAGTGGGGCGATCATTTCCTAAAAATTTTAAATTTTATATATTTTAGATATTTTTTGTATTTTATATTGAAATTTGTTTTGGTACCTTAAAATTTATATTATCTCTACTTAAAATTTTTATATTTTTTGTATTTTAAGGAGCAAGATTTTATCAAAAAATTTTAAAACTGAGGACCAAAGCTTTACCAATACTTTCTTCTGGTTCCCGCAAATAAGGGAAATTTGGGAAACGATTCGATTCAAAGGGCATAAAGTTTTTGGCATTTTTTGATTTCTTAAAAATCTCAGCAGCTTGGCCCATCAAAATCTGATATAGATTTGTAGGATCTAGGCAACTGTTTAGAGATTCAAACACTAGCTCTTTTTTTTTTTTTGGCTTAACACTAATTAAAGTAGAAACAATAAGGCTACATTATACCATACAGAGATGGAACGAGGGGACGAGTGGTATAGAGATGGAGTGAGAGGGGATCAGTGGGGCGATCATTTCCTAAAAATTTAAATTTTTATATTTTAGATTTTTTGTATTTATATTGAAAATTTGTTTTGGTACCTTAAAATTTTATAAGTTATCTCTACTTAAAATTTTTATATTTTTTGTATTTTAAGGAGCAAGATTTTATCAAAAGAATTTTAAAAATGAGGACCAAAGCTTTACCAATACTTTCTTCTCGTTCCCGTAAATAAGGGAAATTTGGGAAACGATTCGACTCAAAGGGCATAAAGTTTCTTGGCATAAGCTTATATGGTTCCAACGCATATTCCGAAGCATAGCTTGATTGCTTGGATGACTTTACTGAACAGATTACCTACCAGAGATTGGCTTCTAAGAATGGGAATTAGCACTGAAGAATTGTGTCAATTGCAACAATTCTCAAGAGACAAGGGATCACTTATTCCATAAGAATGATACAGAGGATGATAATATTAAATTACACATTTAACCTTCGACAATATGTAATGTTATAAATAATTTTGGTTTTGTACAATTTTTTCGAGTAAAAAGGAAAATCTTGTTAAAAAAATCCTTCATATTAAAAATAAAATAAAAATCATCCTAAGGAAGATAAAAGTGTCCAAATTTACTGATAATAAATGATAAATATGTAAGTAAGTAACCTTGGTGATTAAATGGATGATTGTTATATTTGGAGATCTCGGGTTCAAGCACGATGTATATAAAGGTGTTTAAACACTCATTATTAAATAATGAAAAATATTTTAAATAAATGTTACCATATAATCGCCACAAATTAATAAAAAAAATAACTGATAATATGGCCAAAGTCCATTATTCAAATGATCAAGAACCAACAAACATGTTCGAAAGAGCAATTAACATAATACAAATGCAAATGCATAACAGGAGCCACAAAACCAGAAATTATGACTAAAAAATAACACTCGCTAATTATAATTTATGGAACTCAAACCCCTTAAATAAACCTTATTCCTAAGATCTAATGATTATCTAAATAATTTGTTTTTAGGTTTCTAATCCTATTAGAGTAATTTAGTTAAGTCTTAATCAATATTATAACCAACAAATATCACTTGTTCGAAAAATTTAAATTTATGAATATAATAATAATTTTTTATTTGTCCGAGACGGTTACAAGGTAGTATATTATCGAAAAATTTTCAATCTTTTGACAATGAAACTCAAATACCCCTGCAAACGTCGGAATCGAACCCAAA